TCCAAATAAAACAGCGAAAAACATATTGTAAAATGGAAATACTAATTAAATGTTTACAGAACCATAAGCATCCCTGAGGCACTTGGGTTCTTAGCAGTGGGGTTTGAAAAGCACTGCACTACGTGATTTCTAAAGCATTTGTGGGGTGTTTTGAGATTAATTGCCCAAGAGTTTGATATTAATGAGAAGAGAGGGGGGGCCTCTGTTTCAACTCAGAGAAGAATTATTCTGGCCCATAGAAATATGAGCTAGGGACTTCCCTGGCAGTCCAGTGGTTAGGACTCCGCGCTTTCACTGCTGAGGATGTGGGTTCGATCCCTGGTCGGGGAACTAAGATCCCACAAGCTGCGTGGTGCAGCCACCAAAAAAAAAAAGGAAAAAGAAGAAATATGAACTAGAGAGAGAATCATTAGAGAGTGAGTGCCAAGAAGATATTATTTGATTTGACCAAAGGTTTATTGTGGCCCATATGAGATAATAAATACCAGAGTGTATCAAGTCCAGCTCCTGGCAGGAAACAGAAGGGGTAAACAGAGCATATCATGAAGCGATGACAGACCAAGGTGGGCAGGGTTTGGGGAACCAGCACAAGGGAGGCGAAGGCCCAGAACCTGGAAGAGTGGGGCGCCGTGGCCTCCCAGCGAGCGGCCAGACTGGCAGGAGGGTGGGTGCTGGGCAGGACCATGCCTCAGCTCGGAGGAGGAAACCACTGCTGCTTGAACCTGGCAGGGGTAATGCAGTGGGTAAGTCGATGTCCCACCCTGCCTCCTGTCCTTGTTTCCTGTGGGGACCCACTGTCCAAATCCAGCAGGCAGGGGAGCCGGTCGCTGTGGAGGTTGGGTTCAACCTTTTACCTCTCGGGACAGAGCAGGTTGGAGAGTGGATCTGAAGGGCGCGTGGAGACTGTCCAGAATGCAGGGGACTGGGAAAGGAGAAGATGGACTGCTGTTTGGGGCTCAGTGGACTGAGGAGCAGAAGGGTAGCCAAGGTGGAGGGGTGGAGACATGTGTTGCTTGGACAGATCACTATCGACCACCCAGTTGTTAACATTGTATTTTATGCCAGTGAATGAAAAGCAGAAGTCCCTGACTCTTTGGTTTGGGAAATTACTTTAACAGAATTCGTTTGAGTTCAGCAAGGTTGATCTTAGTTTTCTGTGCTAGAACTCAGTTGAAAGTCAGTCAGGTAGGTATGCACCGTATGCCTGGTATGTGTCAAGCTCTGCTAGGTGATGTGGGGGTATAAAAAAGATAGGATCAGATCCTTTTCCTTGATAATTCTCGGGAGACTGAGGAGCTGCAACGTGGAGGTGTGAAAAGGTAGAGCCAAGTACATTGGCGGTGCCAGCACAGGACAGATTCCTATTAGTCACATGTTTCCTTCCTCTTAGGAAAGAGTGCTCCGGTGGCCTTTACGTTAGGAAAAGAAGCAGATTTTTGGCAGCGCAGGAAAAAAAATTTCTATTTCCATATTCTGGTTCCAACTCTCCTCCCCCACTCCTTTCGGTTTGTTTTAAAAATTTGACAGCTAATTAAAGTGTCGTTTGGCTGGAAATGCATTTAAACTCTTTAACTGAAGGGTTTTTTTGTGTTTAAATGAATCCCGGAATATTCTCATCTTTTCACTTTTTCAACTTACATTTTTTGACAGGCCGATTAAGTTAAAATGAGGTCTTTAGGGTGGGCCCTAATCCAGTATGACTGGTATCCTTCTTAAAAGAGGGAATTTGGACACAGAGACAGAAGTACACGGAGGGAAGATAATGTGAAGAGACAGGGAGGAGGCCAGACAAAGGCAGAGGCAGGTTGGGGTTACACTGCTGCAAGCCCAGGGACGTCTGGGGCCACCAGAAGGCGGAAGAGACGGGGAAGGATCCTTCATCCGCAGATTTCAGAGGGAGCGTGTCCTTGCCAACAGCTTGATTTCAAACTGTAGCCTCCAGAATGATGAGAGAATACATTTCTGTTCTAAGCCACCCAGTTTGTGGTACTTTGTTATGGCAGATCTAGGAAACTAACATACCCTCCAAATCTCAGCTCATAGTAAAGATGGATTCCATCAGTAGCTAATTCTAAATTCTTTTCTAAACCTATTAGTGAGAAGAATGTAAAAGTTGATGGCTATTAAAAAGCCCTTAGTTTGGATTTGAGACTCTTTACTGAGCTATTTTGATTAAAAACATATTTTTTTCTTATTACATGAAATATCTGATAATTTATTAAACATTACAATTAATAATGTATTATAAACATGCCAGGTGGTAAAGGGTAGGAGAAATCGATCCCTTTTTTTATAGTTTAAATTTCTTTGGCTGGGTTTTAGTCACCCCGCTTTTCATTTATGGCTCTCTGTACCCTTCCTGTGGGTAAGTTGATAGTCATTCTCATGTTATTAAAGCTATCAAAAAAGGATTCTAAGCTTCAGAACTTAGAATGTTGAAATGACCTGTGATTTAGGTTGTTTCTATATACTGATAGTCTGTCTAGGCCACCCTTTTACTCAGTTAGATTTCTCCTTCATTTTGAATGCTAAACCTTAGCAGTTGAAATACAGTCTAGGCTGGGTGGCAGCCTCTTCCTTGTTCTAATACTGAGGCTGGGTAAGGTAATGTCTTGACCATGTACAATGTACTGCATATGTATTATTTCTGTCCCTGATTTTTAAAACAAATTGCAAAAGCAATATATCCTCTTGTAGAAGAATAAGACATACAATCAAAATAGCTGAGTTTTTTTCTTTATCCAAGGATTAGCTGGACTGTATAAAGAAGTGAAATTCATTTACATGACAAGTATTTATAAAGTGCCTGATCGGTGCTGTGTACTATTCTAGGCTCGTGAGATGCATCAGAACACGTGAAGATCCCTGCCCTTATGTTTCAGGCGGCAGGCGTGCCGTGTGGGCCAAGTTGAAAATGCAGGGAGGTGGCGGCAGTGCTCCCTTCTCGCCACAAGGCGGTGGCCTTGTACAGCACAAAGCCACCACCTGCCTCCTGGAGAGCCTGGGGTGGGTGGGCTGACACCCCTAACAGTGCCTTTGCATTCTGGGGGGTAGAGTGGGATGGTTTAACCCCGTCCCTTTGCTGTGTTGACTTACAGTGAGGTCATAGGCAGCTATACAGAGTGAGAGATTATGAAATTACCATAGTGAGTCTTTTGGGTGGCCATAATTAATTCCTACATATTTTTACACGTGAGCCATGTTATTTCCTGTCTTCCTTACCATGTTTGAGTAATATACAGTTTAGTAATAGAAGAAAAAAAATAAAAATTAACTGCAAAGAAAAAGTTTTATGCCACCAATGATTTTATCTCAGTTTTCGTTCATTTTGTTTCTTTTTGTCTGTGACCGTTCGCAGTTCACATTTCATTCATAAGTTTACCATCGTTACAAAAGGCAGATATGTATTTTTCAAAGTATAGCACTTGATTGATATAGTTGGTTTCTTGGGTGGCCAGGATTAGTGGGACAAAATTAAGAATTCCAGTGAAAGTCATGTTGTGGCATAATACATCCCACCCCAGTTTCTAAGAAACCCGTTTTAAGAGAAGCTTTGCCAGCTGTTTCACAATCGTTAACTGAATATTTAGCTTTAGGTTTTAATCCCTCTTCTAGGGCAAAGGGTCTCTAGAAAATGTAGGCCTCCCTTTATTTTTCCAGAGCTTTTGGAATGCCTGCATTGTTCTTGGCACTGATCCCAGCCCCCCACCCCCACCGCCAGTGTCTCGTCTGGGCTTTCCTTGCTATCCCAGACCCCTAGGTCATAAAGCCACACCCCTTCTCTTTTGTCCGTTGGAGGAAGTGTCTGGGAGCCACTTCTCTAGGGTGGAGTGATGCTCCATTTTCCAGCATCTGCCCTATGAGGCGCTCTCAGGGCCGTCTGCCTTGTACTGCCTTCCATTTTTCCCGCTAGTTTACATCCCTAGGGCTGGGCTCCACTGTTTGCTTTGCTGGCTGTGTGTTGATCTCATTTTGTTGGTGGTGAGAGATGTGGCTGTTGCCCTGAAGCAGTCACTCTCAAACCCTGTTCCCAGGCCAGCTGTATCAACCTCACTGGGAACTTGTTAGAAATGCAGATCCTCAGGCCTACTTCAGAGGCAGAAACTGAGGATGGGGCCCGGCAGGCTGTGCTCGGACAAGTCTTCCAGGGGATTCTGATGCACAGGAAAGTTTGAGAATCACTGTCCCCAAGCAGCGCTACTTTAATTAAGAAGTTACACCAGTAGCTCTGAGCACAGGCCCGTGCTCAAATCTTGGTATATGTTAGCATTAAAACTGATGATATCTTAGTCCTTGAAGTCAAGGCACTTAAAACTTTAAAGCACCTGTTTCTTTGCTTTTTGAATGTCAGTATTTCTGTAGCATAATATTTTTTATTTAGAGTTGACAATACGGTTGATTTCAGAGTTATTAACACAGATGTCTTTTGGGATTTTTGTTGGCCCTTTGAGTCATCACCTGAACAAATGTGGTAGAGAGGGAGCGTTCCCTACCTCCCATCTTTCACTGTGGCCACCTCTTGTCTCCATTGCCGCTGCTTTCACTTCTCCATTGACTGCGGCAGCAGCTGTTCCTGGGCAGTCAGTCTGCCTGTGGTGAGACGAGCTTTGTGAATCAGCCCGGCTGGCACCGTCTCCTCACTGAGCTGCCTTCTGCTTTTTATGGAGCAGATACAAGTCTGTGCCATGAGACAGTCGGGCTGCTCAGCCCTGCCTTCAATCCTTTAAATAACACGCTTTCTTAAAACCTTGAGTGCAAGTCTGGCAGTAAAATGAAGTCTCAGAAACAGAAAACAGAAAACAAAAAGGTGCTTTCTGCCATGGGCAAAAAACGGACAAAACCTTAAAAAGCAGGACTGTTAGAATATTGGTTATTCAAGGACTGGTTATGTGAATAATCTTACCTAAGAGATCAGGTTTTCCTAAGAGAAGATTAAGCAAAGTGGATGCTCAGGAGAGATTAGTGATTTGAAATACTGAATATTCTTCTGTCTCTTCTAGATCTGGAAAGGAAAGAGCAAGAGTTAGAGCAACTGAGAATGGATTGTGAGCACTTCAAAGCCCGCCTGGAATCTGTGCAAGAGGACAGCGTGAGAGAGAAGAAGGTACGACGCCCACAGGGTCCCTGCGAAGTGCCAGCGCCGTGGCCGTGACCGCAAAGTGGCGCCGGCCACAGCCCAGCCCGGAGGCCTCAAGACGCTGCATTTTTACATGTATTTATTCTGAACGGGCTGGAAAATAGTTGATCGTTTGGATTTTACAACCATTTAATGTGGGGGATTATTGGTGCCTTTTGATAGTCACTTACTGTTAATTCAGTGTTTAAAAGCCCGATCCAAGTTATTAAAACTCATAATAATCTTGAAAAAATCATGCATACAATGATTTATAATCAGAGATAGATATATTAAATAGAAGTATTTGTAGTTAACTTCACACATCATTTCCTGATATTTTAGAAATAACCAATTATATTTCATTTTAATATTTGGGGAGACTAACAATATTTCTTGAAAATTATACATTTTTTTGCATGGAATAAGTTATTTCCTCTTCTGTAAAACTAGAACTCTTCTGCCACTTCTGCTGAAATTCGGAGCTTGAATTTTTATGTTTGAATAGTAAAGGAGTAATAGTACTAGTGACAGAAGCCAGGATGTGTTGTTAACTGTGTGCTGGCAGGCGGTCAGCAGCTGTCCATGCATCTCACTTGTTTCTCCCAGCACAGCTGGATCAGCAGGTGCTGTTAACCTGCCGGAGTGAGAGGAGGCTGGTCCCAGGCTCCACTGCCGTGTGCTAAGCTTTGTGTCACACTACCTCCTTGTGTGGAGGAGTTCTGAAGGTTTGTGGCTGCAGTGGAGGTTTTCTAAAAGCGATGGATTTTGTATGGCCTTTATTTTTCACCCACATATTTGTTAATTGTTTATTTATCAAGAAAAACTATTCCTTAACCCAGATATTCATAGTTCTTAGTTTCATAGTTTAGGAACACAGGTAAGTGACAAACTGCCATGGAAATCAACCCAAAGACATTCTTTACATTCCAAAATCATTTTACACTCTGAGAGACAGTAGCTTTCCTCATCGCCTCAAAATCTTTTATGGAATCATAAATTCTGTAGAAATCTGCATATGCCTTCTTTCTTGGTTCAGCCACAGCAAACTTATAGAAAGCTGCAGCTCCCAGAGATACAGTGAATGCTCCAGCAATATGAAATTGCAGACACTTGGCCAGAAGGCCATGCATCTGAGGTTTCATCAAAGAACTGGAAGCCACGGTAGTTTTTCTCCTTGAAAAAGATGGCTCAACAACATCTTTCCAGACGGATGGAGAAATGGACTGTATAGACTTTAATACTGAGCACGTAGAGAAGACCAGGGAAAGAGTTTTAGTCTCAAAACTGAGTTAGGTTGAGTGCCACACATTGAAAGCTGAAATTCTAGCTCAGTCATTTCTGTTCAGATCATGATACACTAAGATGGACGCATGGTTAATTTGTCTGGACCTAAAAGTTTCATTGTCTGAAGGAAGTCGACCAGCAGGCAAGAAGGAATTTGATAAATGTGAACAATGCAATCCATTGGTTCTGTACTCCTTAAAATACCAAGACGTCCTTGTTAAGGTTGAAGCCCAAATTGGGCAGAATCTTAGATTTCCTATATTTTAAATTGATAAGCATAGGAAAAAATGCATGTTTGGCTGGCATTTTAGATGTAATGCTTAAAAATAAGCCACTCAGGGAAGGTGCCAGAATAGAGGAGGGAATGGCTGTGGTAAAGTAGTGTCAGATCATCAGCATGTTATTGCCCAGACACTTTGACCTTAGTTCAAATGTGGGAATATTTTAGGTTAAACCATTACCTATTTCCAGTTAGGCCTCCTGCTTAATAGTCCCGCCAATTTAATACAGGTTGGAGCCCCTGCAAGTTTGCTGTGACAAGGCCCTGTCTCTTTCTGCTGTAGGGAACCGGCAGTTTCCTTTCCTGTGGCCTTTTCTGCCCAGGTCTGTACAGACCGTGAGGCTGGACTCTGGAAGCTTATTTTAGAGTTGAGGAACTAGGAAAGAATCCAGGGCTAGATACTAAATTACAGTATTTCTAGTAAGTACTTCAGTTGGGGTAAAAGTCATTAAGGAGAAGGCAGACATCACTGAATCCAGCATGTAAGGAAAGATCAGAAAACAAAGTGTGGACTCAAAATTGTAAAGGAGATGCTGGGTGGAAGCAGCACCTAACCTTCTAGAGGTTCGTCACTGGGACAAGAAAAGCTTGGTTCGTGCCCTCCATTGAGGTGTCTCCTCAGTGACAGTCTAATGGGGTCAATTTGGGCCTAGTTGGGCCTTGTTGTGATCTAAGGGGTGGGCCGGGAGAGTCCTGGCAATAGCAGCCTTTGAACTCAAGGGAAGAAAGCACCAGTGAAGCTGTTGGAGGATGTCTGAATTATTATTTGAAGGACTGTGCTGCTACTGTAGGGTTAGCTGAGGCCTTCCACAACGTCTCTGCTGGCACAGCATTTAGTGCCTGGCCTGCTTCCCCGTGCACGTGGACTTGTTTCAGACAACGGGCAGAGTCACAGCGTTCTCTCTAAGGAGCCATGGTTCCCCGGCTTACCTATGGCTTCATCCTCTCTGTGTGTTTTCTTAGGGCAGCATCTTTCATAGTCAGTAAACTAACTTAAATGTGGACTGCTGTTTTTTCATTATCTATATTTTTAATTTGTTAGGAAAGAGTTGCTGCTTTTGTGATGATAAATGGGAAGTTGTTGCAAACATTGTATATTATTTCAGGAAAGTTTTTAAAGAGAAAGTAACTGATAGGATAGTTCAGTTACTATAATCAGAAATGAACTACACAAAGATTTTAAAGGAATCTTGAAAATTTTGTGCTTGCTACCCTGTTATGTATGAGTATTCGCTTTAGGTAAATATATCAGAGTTTGATTATTGTTTCTTTTTAAAATACAGCTTTATTGAGGTGTATTTTGTATACCATAAAATTCATCTGTTGTAAAAGCCTAGTTTGATAATTTTTAGTAGATTTATGCAGTTGTACAGCTGTCACCCGAACCAGTTTGTGTTTTAGTTAAGACAGTTTTTGAAATAATTATAGATTCACAGAAAGTTGCAGAAAGTCCAGGGAAGACCAATACCCTTTACCCAGTTTCCTCCAGCGGTAAATAGCTTTCACAGCTACAGTTTAGGGAAACCAGGAGACTGACATCGGTGCCATCCACAGTGCTTGTGCAGGTTTCACCAGTTTTACCTAGACTTGTTTGAAGTTCACCAGTTCTGCCTGCACTTGCTTATGTGTGCGAGCATAGTTCTGTGCAGCTTTATCACGTGTAGATTCATGAACTCACCTCCGCGCTCAACGTACAGCACCGTTGCATCACCACAGAGACCCCGTCGCGCTACCCCGGTGCACCCATGCCCAGCCGCTTCCCCACGCCTGCCTCCTGGCAGCCACTGACGTATACAGTTGCCACACGGTATCTGTCTAACTCTCTTATTTCAAGAATGCCATAGAAATGGGATACTTCAGCCTATAACCTTTTGATACTGACTTTTTTCACTCAGATCCTTCCAAGCTGTTGCATGTATTAATAGTTTGCTTCTTTTGATTGCTGCATAGAATCCCAGGGTATGGAAATATCACAGTTTAAATATTCTCCCATTGAAGGACATTTGGGTTGTTTCCTTTCTTTTTTGCTATTGTGAACACGTGTGTATAGGTGAATATATGTTTTCGTTACTCTGGGATAAATGCCCTAGAGTGCGATTGCCGGGTTCCGTGTCAGGTGCATGTTTAGTTTTGTAAGAAATTACCAAATTGTTTTCCAGAGTGCTGTACCCTTTTACATTCTCACCAGCAAAGCATGAGCGACTCACTTCCTCCACACCCTAATTAGCATATGGTGTTCTCACTGTTTTTTATTTTAGCTGTTCTGATAGATGTGTTGTAGTGATTCGCATTTCCCTGTTGGCTAATGATGTTGAACATCTTTTCATGTACTGATTTGTTGTCTATATATTCTCTCCTGTGCAATATCTGTTTGTGTCTTTTGCCCGTTTTCTAGTTGGATTTTTTTAACTGTTAAAGTGTTCCTAGTATATTCTGGATAGAAGTCCTTTATTGGACATATGCTTTGCAGATATCTTCTCCCAGGGTGTGGCTTGTCTCTTCTTTTTTCTCATGGGGTCTTTCACAGAGCAGACGTTTTAAATTTGGATGAAGTTCAACTTGTTGATTTTTGTTTTTATGGATTGTACTTTTTGTGTTATGTCTAAGAACTTTTCACCTAACCCTAGGTCCCAAAGATTTTCTCCTGTTTTCTTTCCTAACAGTTTTATATTTTTATGTATTTTGTTTATGATTCTTTTTGAGTTAATTTTTGTATAAAATGTGAACTTAACGTCGAGGTTCATTATTTTCTTTTTCTTTTTTTTTTCTTCGCCTATGATTGTCCATGGTATTTTTGGTCTTTTAGATTTTAGCCATTTTAGTGGGTGTAATGGTATCTCATTGTGGTTTTAATTTGCATTTTCCTCATGACTAATTTTCTTGAACATTTTTTCGTGTGTTTATTATCCATTCATATATTTTCTTTGGTTAAATGTTTATTTAAATCTTTTGCCTTTTTAAAAAAAATTTTCTTTGTCTGAGTTGGGTCTTCGTTGCTGCGTGCGAGCTTTCTCTAGTTGCAGCGAGCGGGGGCTACTCATTGTGGTGGCTTGTTGCAAAGCACAGGCTCTAGGCGTGCGGGCTTCAGTAGTTGTGGTACACGGGCCTAGTTGCTCCGTGGCATGTGAGATCTTCCCAGTCCAGGGCTCAAACCTGTTTTCCCTGCATTGGCAGGCGGATTCTTAGCCACTGCGCCACCAGGGAAGTCCTGCCTATTTTTAATTTAATTTGTCTTATTTTTGAGTTGTAAGAGTTCTTTATATATTCTTCATACAAGTCTTTTTTTTAGATATAGAAATATTTTCTTTTAGTCCATGGCTTGTCTTTCTACCTTCTTACTCGTGTCTTTTGAAGAGTAAAAGTTTTAACTTTTGATGAAGTTCAGTTTGTAATTTTTTTTGGCTGCACTGTGCTGCTTGCGGGATCTTAGTCCCCGGATGCTGGCAGTGAACGCACTGAGTCCTAAGCACTGGACCGCCAGGGAATTCCCATCAATTTATAATTTCTTAATGGTATGATTTTGTTGTGATATCTAATAAACATTTGCCTAACGCAAGGTCACAGAGGTTTTCTTCTCGAAATTTTACATTTAGGTCTGTGATTCATTTTGAGGTTTTTTTTTCACGTATGAATATCCAGTTGTTTCAGCATCATTTGCTGAAAATACTACTTTTTCCCTTGAGTTGCCTTGGCAGCTTTTAAAAAATCAGTTGCCATACGTGTCAGTGTTTCATTGATCTGTATGTTTATCCTTATGCCGTTACCACAGTGGTTTGATTTCTGTAGATTTGTTTTGTTTTGTTTTTAAATCAGGTGGTGTTAGTCCTCTAACATTGCTTTTCTTTTTCAAACTTTTTTTTTTGCATTTCCATATGAATTTTAGAATCAGATGATCACTTTGGGCAAATAAGCCTGCTGAAATTTTGATCGGGATTGTGTTGAATCTGTAGATCAGTTTGGGGAGAATTACCCTCTTACCAATATTGAACCTTCCAACCCTTGAGCATGGTAACTCCTTCCATTTATTCGGATCTTTACTTTTTCTCAGTAATGCTTCGTAGTTTTTACTGTACAGGGCTTGAACTAATTTTCTTAAATTTGTTCCTAAGTATATTCTCATTTTTGGTGTTATTGTGAATGGAATTATTTTCTTTGAGTTCCTCTTGATATTATTGTACTGTTTGTGCAGCCCTGTGTCAGGGCATATCTGCCTGTAACCACCAAATGTGACCATAGAAGACAGTTCTGACGGTTACTCTCAACAGTTCTTGTTGATCTTAGAGAAGAGCCACCGTAACCAGACTAATCAGAATGCAGCCTGCTTCAACTGTGAGAAAAGCCAGAATTCTGAAGGAAATGCTGTGATACAGTTTTTGCGTAGGTCACCTTGGCTTGAGTGGCTGAAGCGCAAATCTAGGAATCTAGGCAACTGTTGTGATGAAGCCAGATATTAAAAACCCAGAGTTAATAAATCACGTAAAGCAGTGTTAGCATGTGTCATAGGCTCAGTGACCATTTTTCTCCTAAAGTAAATGTGACTATATGTATGAAGGTGTATGAAGCTCTGATTACCAAATGCATTGTCCCCAGGTAGATATGAATGCCACCCTAGGCCAAGTTACAAAGTCAACAAAGTTCGATTTGTGGTCCGCTGCTCCCTTTTCTCCACTAGGCGAAAAGCCCCCTCTAATTGCCCTGCACTCACCTCTGTAGAAGAAAAAGCTAAAACATCTCATATGCTTTAACTTTGTGGGCTGTTGAGCTAATTATACTTCGGTATAAATGAAGTTAGGTTTTTGTATTTTTTTTTTTTAAGGCCATAGGCACGGTTACAGGAGAGGGATAGCTCTTTCTTTTTTAAAAAATTAATTAGTTTTGGCTGCATTGGGTCTTCGTTGCTGCGTGCAGGCTTTCTCTAGTTGCGGTGAGCAGGGGCTACTCTTCGTTGCGGTGTGCGGGCTTCTCGTTACGGTGGCTTCTCTTGTTGCGGAGCACGGGCTCTAGGCACGCGGGCTCAGTAGTTGTGGCACGAGGGCTTAGTAGTTGTGGCTGGTGGGCTCTAGAGCGCAGGCTCAGTAGTTGTGGTACACGGGCTTAGCTGCTCTGCGGCATGTGGGATCTCCCCGGACCAGGGCTTGAACCCAGGTCCCCTGCATTGGCAGGCAAATTCTTAACCACTGTGCCACCAGGGAAGTACCAGGTTTTTGTATTTTTGAGTTTATCTATTATTGAGTAAGGAAATGCTCTCATCTTTTAAGGGAACTTCAGGTAACAAGGAATAGTGAAACTGGTGTTGACAGTTGGGATGGGCAGGAAGCCCCACATCACCCAAGACCCACCTGAAGGTGAACCTTTAGGAGTGCTGTGTGGTCAGAGGTGACATCAGGGGGACAGTTCACTTGTTAAGAGCCCTGGCTTCAGAAGCCCAGTGCTGGTGGGAGGCTGAGAAATCTTGCCTGGCCTCCGTCTTCTTGTTACGCTGGTGCTTAGCTTGCTGGTTCAGGGCACGCCAGGGAGGCCCTTCCTTCTCACTCCTGTCCTGCCTCTGCTCCTGTCTTTCCTGCCTGGTCTTGGCTGTGTCACATGGCATTTTTATAGTGGAGTGAGCCACTTGGCGGCGGCAGGCACCTTTATTAGAAATACTGCTCTATGTAGGGACTGCTGTGTTAGCTTGTTACTTTCTTCGGGTGTCCTAGTTGGTGCTGTCCTGGGCATAGCCACGTGGGACCTGAGATGCCTCGTCATCCATCTTACTTAAAAGAAGATGAATTCAAGTCTTTGGCAGTATTTATAAACTCTAATGCGGTAGTATGTTCTTTTCTGTGGCTGTTATTTTTGCCTCTGAAGTTTTTAAAAAACTTATGCATTATGCCTCTCTAAGGGCTAGTTTACACTTACCAACTGTTTACTATATTCTGTGTGCATTTCTTTTCTTTAAAAATACCTTTGAAAGAGGAAACACAATAGAGGGATTTTGAGGTTGAAAGCTGTGCATTTTTCTGATTTTATTTTGTTTCGATTTCAGGAGAAACTGGCTCTTCGACAGCAGCTGAATGAAGCAAAGCAGCAACTCCTGCAGCAGGCAGAGTACTGCACAGGAATGGGCGCAGCAGCCTGTACCATTTTGTGGGGTGTCTCCAGCAGTGAGGAGGTGGTCAAAGCCATCCTGGGAGGAGTAAGCATGCCCGCGGGCCGTCTGGACATTGTTGAGTAGTGCTTGTGCGACTTAGAGGACACAGTGCAGCCATTAAGGCGCCTACAGACTAAATCCATTTCTTTTGTTCATCAGATAGTTCTGGAATACCATCTGTGTAGGGCCCACTGTAACTGGTCTCCGGGGGGTATGTAAAATGAACGAAATAAGATCCCTTCTCTCCCAGAATCTGTATGGTGTTTGTGGAGATAGTCCCACTTCAGTATTATTACTTGACATATGCATTTAACAAAGTTTGAAGTGCTTTTACGTATGTTATTCCAGGGGTAATATAATATTTAATTGCCTGAATGTTATATGTTAATAGCATGTGAGTGCACACAGACGTCAAGGAACTTCACAGAGGAAGAGAGATTTTAAATGAACCTTGATTAACTTGCACAGGCAGCAGTGGCAGGAAGTGAAGAGGGTCCCTCAGGAGGGGAGAAGTAGAGCAGTCAGAGACCTGGAGTGAGACATAGGGAGAGTGTGTGGGTCATCTGACACAGGGTGGAGGGTCAGTGTGGTGGATGATTTGTCCAGTGGGTGCTAGGACGGGATTCCTTGAGGCTTTTTGATTGAAGAAGTGACAGGACAGGAGGGGAACTTGGGCAGCTCAACCTGCCAGTGAGTGAGGATGCAGGGGGGGTGGGGTTGTGGGTGTGGAGACTGGCCAGGAAGACTACGTGGAAGGTGGAAGGCCGCCCCCCAATAGAATAGGGGATGGGAAGTGGAGAGCTGTGTGGGTGAGGCAGGACTTGTGACAGGGTGGTGTCCATGGCGGAGAGGGCAGAAGGAGCCCGGGAGGGCTGTTATCTGACTCTGGGAGAATCGAGTGGTCCTGAATGGCAAACCATCCGTCAAGGGCGGATGGTAGGCGGGAGGCCAGTAGTATGTCGCTCATCATTTGCAGAAATAAAAACAGTGGAGGGACTAAACGTACTTTAAAGTTTACTGAGCTTTCTTAAGGTATAACTTACGTGTCGTAAGATTCATTTATTTGTCAGTGTACAGCTTAGTGTTCTCTAGCTGATTTTTGGAGGTGTGTAATCACCCCACAATCCAGTCTTAGGATATTTATATCACCCCATGCAGTTCCCTTGTGACATGTGTAAATGCATCGGTTTTCAAACTGTTCCTTAGAACCCTGCCCCCGCCAAGGAAGTGCTTTCAAGGTTCTGGGAACTTGCAAACTCTTTTTGCCGAGTAATGAAGACTGAAACTGTCAGATGAGCCTGTTGCTGTCTTTTACATGTTGTGGTTTCAGTTAAGATTTTATTTGAAAAACAATTCTGCCAAAGGTTTGAAAACCTCTGGTTTCATGCCTAGAATAGAGAACATATTTTTCTACTATATTTCTAGTATGTTTTTGGGTGAATTCAACCCAGTACTTCTATCATTGTATAAATTTGAACTGTTTCCCTCATGTATTTTACTATATCAGTCTTCAGGGTAATTTTTCTACATGCCCCAAACTTCTTTTTTTCTGATCTTTTCATTGGGAAGTTTTAATGAGGGAATAGATTTTAAAATATTGCTTCTGTAATTAAAACCAGAGTCTTTCCTCTGTGTCCTGCACTTTGAAAGTGTTTTCCTACTGGTATTTGTGAAAGGGTGTGACATTTCCATTTCTGAACTTTCAGGGTAAAGCTTTGAAGTTTTTCAACATCACTGGTCAAACAATGGAGAGTTTTGTGAAGTCACTGGATGGGGATGTCAAGGAGCTGGATTCTGATGAAAATCAGTTTGTTTTTGCTTTGGCTGGAATCGTAACAAGTGAGTAATTCTCTTCAAACGTAGTGACTTTCAGAAGTGAGTTCCAGAGCAGTGATCACAGTCGGGGTGTGTGTGCATAAACACCTCTCAGGAACATTTCAAATAGGCTCCTGCCCTGGAGAATCTGACTCGGTAAATTGGGGGTAGGGACCAGGTGTATGTTGTGGAACATCACTCCAGGTGATTCTGATAGGTATCAGTGAGTAGCAACGAGTAGTCTTAGGAGCACAGGGTGAGTTTGCACGTTCTGGTCAGTTCTCTACGTGGACAGGAGTCAAAACTGTAAGTTTTGCTACTTGTTGTTTGGAACCATCATCATTTACTAATGTCTAGCTAAAGTAAAAGCCTCAAGCAGAGCTTAAGTTAAACTCTTGCTGTTGTTCTGCTGTTGTAACTACAGAATTCCAAAACCCTAAATTGTCTCTTTAGTAAAATTTTCCCAAAGATTATAGTTAGATAGAATTCTGTGGCAAAACTGCTGTAAAGGATAAAGCCAGATGGCTATATAATTAACACTAATATCTTCAAATAGTAGGAGGTGGTATATACTAGGGAGTATTAAGGCTTTTTGTTCTAAGTCAATGAAATAGTTAAATATAGAGCTATGACTTACTTTCTTACATTGCTTTTTCACCTCTGCTGTATGCTATGCTGTTCTCTGTGGTTAATGAGAGGGGAAGTGTCACATTTCTTCATCTACTGAAATCCTCACGACGTAGATCTCATGTAGATGATTTCTTCATAATCCCTTAGAAATTGGTGCTATTCTTCTGGGGCGGACGTTGAGACCCGGACGGTGTTCAGCCAGTCCTGATTTAGCCCGGCACTTTATCCGCTGGAGGAGTGCAGAATGCACTTTCATCATAGCGCCTTCAGCTGGTGGAGGCTTGCACTGCTCCACCTTTCAATATTCCTTTAAGGTCTCTTTTTTAGCAGAAGGTATTTGCAGATTTGATGGTTAGATTTTCTGCTATTTGCAGGTGACCTCAAAGGTCTATGATGTATGTGACTTTTCATTCTGCTGAGTTGTGAGTTTGAGCTGCTTGAATTGCCAGCCTGTTGCCCAGCAGGCAAGCTCAACCTGGCTTTGCTTTTCCCTGCCTGGTTGTGGGCATGTCCACATTCCCCTTACGCGCTGGTGAATCGTACGGGATGATTACGTACTATGTTCGTGCTGCTCTGCAGAGGCGTTGGGGCCTTATGTGTGTCAGATACCAAGACTCTGTCCCACGGGGAGTAGGCAGTACAGCAGACGCCTTGGTTAGCCGTCAGATAGATCCTCTGCCTTCTAAAACAACGATTCTTCTTTTAAGCTTACCTACGGTAAACTCACCCATCACAGTTTTTTTCTCACCTCTTCGCAGTCCTGTGAGTTTTGACAGATGCATGCAGTCACGTCACCACCACAGTGAAGACCTGGAACAGTTCCACTACCTCCGCCTCATCTCCCCATCTGCCCTCCCCTTCCTTTTGTAGCCAGCCCCTCTGCCCGCCAGCAGCCCAGGCAGCCGCTCGCCTGGCAATTTGCTACACCTCTTAGCTGATGTTTCTGGCTGGCTTATCTGGCCTCCAGCGCCTGCCCCAGGTGAGCAAGTGCTTGCCTCACAGCTCTCCTTGCAGCACCTGCCTTTTCTTATTTTTCATATCAGTTGGTTGACCTTCAGCCTCAACTCTGATGTGTTCGAGATAAGTTGTGATTTTTTGAATTATCTAAACTGCCCCTTTTAAAGAATGGAGGTGTAGCTCTCTTCAGTTTACTGTACCCTAAGCAAAAACTGGATGTCAAGGATTTGTTTAAACATGGAAATTATGAAATTTCTTACTCATCCATAGTCACTGTTCTTAATAATAGATTAAAATAGTATAAAGTGTCTGGATTTTCAGGCCCAGCTAGTCCACTTCCCAGGATGTAAATTCTCTGGACTTTATTTTCCTTATCTGCGAAGTGGAATAGTAATACCTGCTCTGACTACCTTACACATTGTTGTGAATGTTACTGAGCTATGGTGAAGTGGTAACACATTGTAAACCAAGGTCCTGTTTCACATGGGGGGGCGATTGTTTCCAACAACTCTTTTGTAAAAAATTTATTTATTTATTTATTTATGGCTGCATTAGGTCTTTGTTGTTGGGTCTTCATTGCTGCGTGCAGGCTTTCTCTAGTTGCAGCGAGTGGGGTCCGCTCTTCGTTGTGGTGCGCGGGCTTCTCATTGTGGTGGCTTCTCTTGTTGCAGAGCTCGGGCTGTAGGCACACGGGCTTCAGTAGTTGTGGCACACAGGCTCAGTAGTTGTGGCTCGCGGGCTCTAGAGTGCAGGCTCAGTAGTTGTGGCGCACGGGCTTAGTTGCTCCACGGCATGTGGGATCTTCCCAGACCAGGGCTCGAACCCCTGTCCCCTGCGTTGGCAGGCGGATTCTTAGCCACTGTGCCACCAGGGAAGTCCCTCCAACAACTTTTATAAGTGGACAAATATAGAACTTAAAAGAAGATGGCAAATTATTATCACAGCCCTGTGAAGATTGACTTGCTTAGCTTGCAAGTGGAAAACTTATTTTTCGAACTACTTTTTGACTATTTGAAAGTCATAATTGCACTCGTTGCCTCTTAATTCTGGGTTTCTTCATTCAGACAATGTTAGGTAATGATTACAGAATCAAAATTACCATTTTTTTTCTTTTTTGCCACTCTGCGTGGCTTGCAGGATCTTAGTTCCCCGACCAGGATGGAACCCAGACCCTTGCAGTGAAAGCACCGAGTCCTAACCACGGGACCGCCAGGGAACTCCCCCAAATTACTTCTTGATTGTTGATAATTTATGGCAGGACTGGATCCAGCTTATCTTTTGTGGACGTAACAGTCCCACAGAGTTGACAGCAGAGCGCCCTGGGTCAGCAAGCAGCACTGCTCCTGGCTCCTCCACCTCAGGGGAGCAGTGCGGAGGGTGGGCGGGATTGAGGCCCAGTGTCCAGTTCTGCTTCTACCACCGGCCAGCCCTGTGTTCTTGACTCTGTGACCCTCAGCTTCATCTTCTGAGAAAAGAGTCTTAGACCCCAGATGATGACTAAGGTCTGCCCCAGCCCTGGACTTGTGCGGCTGCTTTGAGAAAAGGGGGCCGTGAGCCTTGCCTCCTGGATCAGGTGACAGGCTCTGAGCGGCAGTGGGTCTTTGGTGTGTGCAGTGTCATTGAGTTAATGTCCCTAGAGCAGAGCTTCTCAGCCTCGGCAGTAGAAGTCTCTGTTTTGGGGAGTGTTCTGTGCATTGTAGGAGTTCAGAAACATCCCTAGACTCTACCCGTTACAGGCCAGAAGCAACCCCTAGGTGTGACAACTGAGAATGTCTCCAGATGTTGCCAGTTGTGTCCTGGGGGCAAAATCATCCTCCCTTGCCACTTGGAGACCACTGCCCTAGAGCACCACCTTAACCCATCATGTACATAGACAGAAAGGTTTATGATGCTCCTGGATGTTAGAGGTAATTGTTGAGAGAGATTTTGAGATTGCTGCAGGCTGTTTTGGCTTCTCTGTCCCCTGGGCGTGCTTCTGACATGTTTGATTTAGTCTAGTCATATAACTGGTCTTGCCAATTCAGGGGAATTTGGTATCTGTCATCTACAATATCCAGTTAATCACAGAAATTCTCTTCATCGTCTTTCAGTGGTTTGTCTTGGATAATTTGGGTTACTGTGTAATCTTTCCTTAGATAATGCCCTTCCTTCAGTTGCCAGAGTATGGCCTAGATAATGAGCTGTTGTTTTGCGGAATTGGAGTGTTTCTTTGGAAGCTCATCTCCCTTCTTAGCAACCTCAGTGAGGAGATAAACACAGTCAGCCTTAGAGTTTTCCAGACTAATGGAATGTAAGAGGAGGTTATGTATGTGTTGGATCAGAAGGACCCCACAAAGAGCTCCACTGTATCCTTAAGATCTGGGATTAAGACTTGAGAGAAGCAGGATAGAACTTCAGTGAATCCCTGGGGACATAACTTTCAGGGTGAATTGTTGATTTTTCTAGGTGAAGGCAAGTAAATTGGCCAATTTTATAGAATGTGACACTAAAGAGACCTGAGCATTAATCTTTTCCTGTAAAGAAGTGGCTCCAGGCAGGACGGAGAAGAGGAATTGTTCACAGATTTTGGACAAATCCATATCCTCAACCATTAGAGTTTTTTTTAAGCAGGTAGCATTAAGCGATTGTGGGGCTGGTACAAGGAATTACTAGTCCTTTTTCTATTAAGCTGGTCATTGGTGGCCTATGGCCTTCCGTGGCTTTAGCTCTAGAGAAGATGAGGTAAAGGCGAGAAGAATCATCTGGAGTCTTTTGGCTTTTGCCCCAGTTGTTTAACTCTGTCCATAGAACCGGGATTCTGGGACTATTGTTAATTCTTTGGTTATTTCTTGAATCTTACATAGTATATGGGCAAATAATATTCAGATCGGCGCTAATTTGTGTATAGGAGAGTTTTCTGGGACTTCTAAAAATTATCCTTCTGTAGTGCCTTTTCTTTATCTGTTCCATTTACAAAATAAATATCCGTCCACTAAACTTTGCAGGGGCTGTGTCCCAGAGAAGGGAGGAGTGTCTTTCTGATAATGGTCCCAGAGTCACAGTTACGGGTTGGGAGAAGCAAAAGATGCCGGGAGTCTTTCTTTCCTGAGAGTGCAGTTGCGTGTTAAGGGAAAGAATGTGAGCAAATGGAAAGAACAGGAATTATGCTTGTAGATGAGCCGTAGGAAAGTTGGGGGTTCTGCTTGGAGCTGTTTCCTTCATGGTGGGTCAACAGGCGATAGCGTTTGGCTGGCAGTGGCACTCTGTCATCATAGGCCTTGCCCTTGATTTTTTCTGTGACTGGGCGTCCTAACGGTCAGAGCATGCTCACTCCATGGTGGAAACTTACCCAGCCTGGTGAGGCAGGTTTGGCAGGTGAAAGCGCGAGGAGGTTATAAGAGGTATGGGAACATTTCCCGGGAGTCATGTTGACACTGCAGACTGACAGCAGCAAACAG